CAAATTTTGATGACGAAAGCTGTGCAACTATGTTTGCATAACATCTTTTTATATGAAGAAGGCAGGTAATCCTAGGACGGAGGGCAAATACTCCTTTGATTCTGAAGCTATTACTTGAATACAGAGGTGTAGTTTCCTACCTGGTCGGAGGTGCTCCGACGCCATCCCCAACTTTGAGAAGACAATGGGCCATACCCAAGAAAGAAACAGTTTGTTGGCGTATTTGGGGATAGGTCTCTTCATTTTTAACTGCTCATCCCCTCATGAAGATATTGAAACCAGCGTCAGATGTGACGAAACAAGCCCACTTTTAAATATTGACATACTTTTTCAAGTGGAGAAGACTACTCTGGACAGCACAGTTCTCTGCTTAGTAAATATGTTCCTCAATGCATCATGGTTTGATTACGTCATTGTACCTTGTACAACACTTATTGCAAGCCAACTGACAGCTGTCAAATCTGGAAATCACGCTCACGAACGCCAGATATGAATGTCTCGACAGCTGTATTTTTATTGGCCTTGATCGCTGCATGGCTTATGGAACGGCAGAATTTGAATGACATTATTATGACGTCATGAATGCCAAGGTGGCTTTTAAATGCTGTCTACGATATGCCTTTCACCATTTTCGCGGGCGTGTGACTCAGAAATTAAAGGGACTTAGGTCTTACGAGGGAGAGGATTGTGAACAGCACGGAAAGGTCTTCAAGATGGCTATTTCGGTTCAAAACTCCATATATTTGGAACACTGCCTTTAAGAAGGGCGGATCCAAGGAAGGGCTAACCGGACCATACCATTACCAAAGATGGCCGAAGCTGGAAAAAATGACCCATTTTTAGACTTCGAAGAAAATCTGGGCAACATTTTCTAAGAGAAATCTCTCTTGCAGCATTCCTAGAGCTAAAAGGGAATGGTATCCCGACAATTTTTGAAAATTAGGACACTTTTTTAATTCCTGTCCTCAAGCCCGGGCTTTCCCCCCCCCATCCGGTGTTCTGGATCCGCCTTCGACCAATCAGCCAGTTTTGCTATGCTTGCGGCATTACCTCTCCTTGCACTTCCGCAACAAAATCACCTTTTTGCCAGCTCTTTCACGGCTTACTTTGATATTTTGAAGTGGCCGTTCGTGATTTTGTAATAGTTGGTATCGTGATTTCGTGCTTTCATGATATTTTGTAATGGTTTATGCCGTGAAAGTCTAGCACCTCGCTGTGATGTACTTACGCGCCGCGTACTGCGTCAGAACGGGCAGCCGTCGCGCGTGCCTGCTAATGAGACGTAACTGCAGGAGTGTGGACAGCTCAAAATCCTTTCAACAGCTTACATTACACGTAAGCCGCGAGCTCAATAGGCTTCACACCATGTATATGGCATGTCAACTCCATCCACGTTGGCGTCGCAATCACCCTCGGTGATTAAGGAAAGCAACTGAAAAAATGGGCCGCTGGTGCGTTTCGAACCCTCAACCTTCCGGTCATGACACAGCTGCTCTCCGGCTGGTTGTGACAAAGTTCTGACGAACTGTGGATAGGCAATTAGCGGTTATCTAGGGTGGCCAGAGAAAAACGCCTCGGTCGAAAGGGTCGCCTCTGTGCGATTTTCTAATCACTGTCGGCTGTTAGGCGTTACAAATGGCTGACTCACAGGTGCCACGTGAAGCAAATGAGTATGGCTCCGGAGCCTACACCCTCAATTGCCGGCGCTCCAGAGCCAATAGGATGTAGGTAGCGCCGCCTTGCGCTGGCGAGGCATCTACATGATACTTCTGCACACTATCGACGAAAATAAGCTGCATTCGGGAGAATTTTATACCCACAAGCCGACGCAAAACACCCGTGGTAGCCCATCCCGCACAGCAAACGTGCATTGCGGGTTGCCGCGCCGGCCACCGCCAGGCGGTCGCTTCTGCCAGATCTGACGTCACTCTCCGGCCGAGTGATACGTGAGACATCTGGCGGCGCATGTGAGCAACAGTGCCCCTGCTGCGCCACGAACAGCTGCGGAATGCTGAGCACGACGAACTTAAACGGATGCCCCACCGGTGATTTATTACTTAAAAACACAAATTCGATGTCTCGCCCGCCATGATAATGCTATGAGTTATAAGCTATCGCCGAACACGCGGTCGTGTGGCGCGAGCTCGTCAACTAGTTTGTATGCTAAGTAAATTCGTCGCATGCGAGCCCAGGCGACCTCGGCTGGCCGTATTTACGCTTAGTCAAGGTCAAACGTGCGAGCTGTTGATTTCTGGCCCTCCCTCACAGTTGGATGTGAAGAGCCACAGAAAACCAGCCGACCTTGGAGCATGATGCTAAGACAGACAGAGAAGCCACCTCGCGCGGCGTACAGTGAATTACGCAGTGAAGTCCTGCTGCAACTAATTGCCTTTACAGAATTCGTTAAGCTTGATGGAACACGGGAGGCGGTATCTTTCCTGGCACGCTTCTACCATCAAAATGTTCCAGCAATATTGAGTCATTTGAATATCGCAGTCCAAAACAAACCAAAGGCTTCACCATATCTGGCATATCTGGTGACACTTAAAGCGGTCACAATCTGATAACGCGCAAGTCTTGCTCGCTCCGAAAGGCGGGTAGCTGGAGAAGACGCAAACTTAATTTTCTACAGCCGTCATGATGCTACTAGCGACAAAGCACACTATCGCTGCTAACGCTCGAGAAGAAGTGCGCTTCTAGTCGTGGCTAGGTCCTTACAATGGCATGATCACGTGTTTTTCCACGCAGTCTCTGTTAATCGTTCGTTTCACCGCTTCCGTCTTTTCCAGGTCATGGCACGGTGCTGGTGGGATAGACGGAGTTGAAATGATATTTTACCTGCTACAAAACTTTTTTATATTTGTCAGTGCATCAGGTCGTTCTTTTAAGTGACTCTCGATGTGCGTCGTCATTCTAGAGTGGCCTTCATAAATGCCCGTTATTAATTTCGGAGGACAGCTGACGTCAGCGTCGTATCTAAGTATCTTGAAGCTGACATTCCATAGACGCTCGAGCTGTCCTTACATCATGGATCAAAATAACAAAAATGTGTCAGTTGGCGTAGGGCTCGTCCAATACCGAGGTGGCACGATGCCTTGTCTTGAGAACCGTACGAAATAACTTTGTGGATCTGAACGGTACACATACCGCATTTATCCGTCTCGATAGCTCAGCCCGTAAGAGAGCCTGCCTTCCGAATCAGCAGCACGTAGCACAGTGGGTTCCAGACTCCAGTCGCCTTAAACGTTCGCTATTTACCTGACCAGGACGTCCTGTGGCCGGTGGCAGCGGGGCGCTTAAGGTCAGGTGACGGCAGGGGGTAAGTACGGCCGCACCAACCATTGCGGCACTTTCCATATTCCGGAAGATTATGCTGCTGACCCGGAGTTTCACGGCTGGATGGCAGAGCTGGGCTTCACGCGGCAATCCATGCATAGCGCGGTGCTGATCGCCATGCAACACACCCATCCATTGAGAAGGTTTGGACTCAAGTCTTTAAAAGGGCGTATCCCACCTTTTTGTACTTGTCACGTATTGTGATATCAGACAAGTAGGATTTGATCAGTTATGCCAGTTTTCCGGAAATCCTTCCGAATAACTCAAAAGCTTGATTTGAAGCAGCCGGCCCTGCGGGGGAAATCTCACTTACTTCCTGCTCACCACTATGAAAGTGGCACATTTAATTTCCCTCGCTCCTTCCAACTCGTTATTCTATAATGTTTGCAACACACTTACTGTCCACACACTGTCCAAAATATTTGTATAATAAATGTTTCGTACACTTGAAAAAGACAAAATATATGTAAACATGAAACTAGTATCGCGGAAATGCAACGAAACGTTATACTATGGCTTCGATTTCTTCCCGATGGCGTTTACCACAGCGGCTCTTTGCGAAGTGCACTTTGGTGTTGAATGGGAGTATCACATGATCCATGTGACGTCCCGGCTCACAAACGAGTGCGCCTTCGACAACAGGCCCTTACCCACTGCGTTAAACCACAGATGTTCTTTTATTTGCACTAGAAGAGGTGCGTGCGCACGTATATAAGCACCATGATGTATTATGCTTCAAAAGTAGCCTTAGACCCAGAGGTCACAAATGTGATGAAAAATACAAAGACGGGGTTCTAGCCTCAATTTGTTTCAGATAAAAACCCTCACAAGCACGCTCCGGTCATCACCAAGGTAAGTTACACATCACAGGCTCTGCCAGTATTCAAAATTCGCTGTTGAGGCTAGGCAGGAAGGATTATCATTTCTGCAGATTGTAATTCCCCGTGTCAGTGTGGCATCGTCTCCAAGAAGCCAAACGAGTCCTCTGAATAAACAGATCCTGAACGACCGAGATCGAGTTTCAGTAGCTGTTGGACAAACTCGGCAGCCGCGTGTCATGCAAGCTTGTGTGTAAGCACGATGTGAAGTGCACTCACCGCTGATCTCTGTCGTGGAATCATTCAGTTTCACCTTGATTAAACTTGACATCTCGCCCATGATCAGTGGACAGTTCATGGACGAGTAAGGTTGTGAGGTTTACGGGAAAGAATCTGTGAAAATGCTTTGTACCCTTAACTGTAAGATATGGTTTAGTGTGAGCTCAGTCCTGGCGGACAGACATTGAGCTCGGTTGTGAAGTTTTCCTTTGGAACGTAAGAGAACTTACTTACTCTGACAATTTGTCTCTGAAAGTAACTGAAATGTCGACTCGGAGACATTGTTTCGGAAACATCGTCTCCCACACAACCCAGTTGCAACAGTCACTACTAATGGGCCGATAAGATTTGTTGGGATAGCGGCCGCTTCAAACTCTCCTGGTACGGCGGCCGCTTCATACTCTCCTGGTACGGCAGCCGCTTCATACTCTCCTGGCACTGCGGCCGCTCCATACTCTCCTGGCACTGCGGCCGCTTCACACTCTCCTGGCACGGCGGCCGCTTCATAGTCCCCTGGCACTGCGGCCACTTCATACTGCCCTGGTACGGCGGCCGCTTCATACTCCCCTAGCACTGCGGCCGCTTCATACTCCCCTGGTACGGCGGCCGCTTCATACTCCCCTGGCACGGCGGCCACTTCGTACTGCCCTGGTACGGCGGCCGCTTCATACTCTCCTGGCACTGCGGCCACTTCATACTGCCCCGGCACTGCGGCCGCTTCATACTCTTCTGGCGCGGCGGCCGCTTCACACTCTCCTGGTACGACGGCCGTTTCATACTCTCCTGGTACGGCGACCGCTTCATACTCTCCTGGCACGGCAGCTTCTTCGTACTGCCCTGGCACTGCGGCCGCTTCATGCTGCCCTGTTGCGGCGGCCGCTTCATACTCTCCTGCAACTGCGGCTGCTTCATAGTCTCATGGCACGCAGCACGCTTTATTGTGCCACCCAGAGCGGCCGCCTCATGCTCCCTTAGCACGGAGGGCACTTTATACCCTCCTGGTACAGCGGCCGTTTCATAGTCTCCTGGCACGTAGCACGTTTTACTGCGCCATCTAGAGCGGCCACCCCACACTCTGTGGCATGGCGGCGTACTCAAGCGTTTCATACCTTCTGGCACGTGGCACGCACTGCTGAGCCACCCATGCCGTCGCACCCACTTTTTCTTTGCAAGGTGACAACAAAATTCCACGAACATGTTGCATCTTTCAAATCCTCCTCATCATTACACACATCCGTGTGATTCTTCTGGTCTTCAATGTGCTGCACGCCCATCGGTGATATAAGGTACGTTAATGAAGCCTTGAAGCCAGGTAGTCTGGCCTGAATTTCTGTCATTAATCACCGAGGAGACGAAAATCATAGCAGGGCTGCACCTCTTGCCGTCAAAGACACGACAGCAGCTCCGATGGCATGGCAGGACGCTTCACCCTTCTCCGCCAGCGTACAGCAAGCGTATACGGGCTCACCGTGCGCTGGGGCGCATCCCACTAAAGCCACAGTCCTGGACCACCAACGAATGGCTCTCCGCGAACGACCATGGGGCAACACCTCACCAACCGCTACAATCTCCTTGCGCTGCCCTTAATATGCAGACCGCACGTGGGCCCTGTTGTGGCTCTTGCTTAGCTTCACTCCGTAGCGGCTCAATGACCTGTGACCTGAGGAAGTTGTCTGCACATCATTTTATATCGGCTCAGTGACCTTTGACCTGAGGTGGTCGTCTCCGCTCCAATCCATAGCGGCTCAGTGACCTGTTACCTGATGTAGTCGTCTCCACTTCATTCCGTACTGGTTCAGTCACCTGTGACCTGATGTAGTCGTCTCTGCTTCCCACCATGCTCTCCAGCGTGCATCTGGCAGTGTTAACACACTCTTCATAGCGGACCTCACAGTCCCCATCATCCTCGTTTTCATCCCGTCGGCGCGTGGTGTACCGTGCGAGTGACATATCGTCGCCACCTTACATGGGAAAGGCATCATGACTAGGGTGGCGTGTCAAAACACGCCCCACACCAGCAGACGTTAGAGCAGCCCCCGGAGGGCGGCCGCTGTGCTACAGCAGTATAGAAACAAGAATAATCACCCGCACGAGTGCAATCACGAGGAGGATTCGAAGTATGTATCACGTTAGTGGAATTTCTTTGTAACCTTGCCTAAAATCGCGTGTGATGGCATGGGTGGCTCAGCAGTGCGCGCACGTGCCAAGGGGGTTTGAAGCGGCTGCATTCCCAACCAAACCAAACCCCAACGGCCGATTTTAGGCTACTGTTGTAATAGAAGAGATGTAATTGGGTTACGTGGGCCGAGCTGATGTTTCATTTAATTGCAGAACAAAATCGTCAGAGTCCGTAAGTTCTTTTATGTTTTGCAGGTAAAGGTGACGGACATGACAAACGAGCTCAGTGTGTTCGCCAGGGCCGTCACAGAAAGGGGTATTATTACCCGGTTCCACAAATCCTATCCCGTGAAACCCACAGCCTTATCCGTCCGTGATCTGTCCGCACGCCATGAACGGGGGACAAATTTAATCGAAGTGTAATTGAATGATTCCACGACAGAGATCAGCGGTGAGTAAACTTTCACATCGTGCTTACACACAAGCTTGAATAACACGCGGCTGCCGATCTTGTCCAACAGCTACTGAAGCTCAGTCTCGGCCGTTCAGGATCTGTTTATTCAGAGGACACGCTTGACTTCCTTTGCGGCAGCCGGTGCCACACCGACACGGGTAATTAGTTCCATATTGAGCTTGGCCGTTGTAAGTGAATTGCAATACTAATAGATGTTCTGTTATGCGAAGGTGCGGTATGGTTCGGTTTAGCAGCACGGGCGCCAACATGAACTTGTGTTTTCAACCATGGAGACAAAGCAGCAGCCAGGTGGCAAATATGCTGTGTTCTAAAATGCATTTTTCGTGACCCAACTTCGCCTTGTCCTTTAGGCAACCAGAAGTAAGAAATATAGGTGATGTTTTGCTCAATCCTAGGTCAGTCATTAAGTGACCAGTTGGTTTCATCGTGCATATGGGAATGAAGTGTTAATAACGGGAGCAAACTAGAGTTATGATAGATTTATCTGCATTTGGCTGAGAAAATCATCTCGGCTTTCGCTTCAGATCATGAACATTGACCTAAATTTCGATTTAGTAATTAAATTTCCAATCAAGAGTCGCTTACTGAATTGCGAAGCCTTCAACCAGTCCGGAGATATCGGAGTTGTTCTCAGTGCCACCTACATGTGCGTTTGCGAAACACGAAAAGGCACGCGCTGCGAAAATACCTTGTTTTTGTTTTTGTACCATTTTATGAAGCATACAGTCGAATTTGGTACGCGTTAAGAATACGAGTTTCAAGTACCCATATGTCAAGGCTGGTCAGGTAAGAAAAGGTCGCAAGATCACTAGGTGAGAAATCTATCAGGGAAAATTTGTGCCAAAACATTTCTTTCATCAAGCATAATATATATATATATATATATATATATATATATATATATATATATATATATATATATGAAGTTCGTCGACCAGGATCATTTGGACAGCGGCTATGGTCTGCTAAAGACAGGCTTACAGTGTGACTTCTTCGTACTCCACAGTTACATGTTCTTTTCCTTTTCAAGATTTGAGTGCGTGATACGCTGGCGGAATTGGCGGAGAATGTCTCAGTTGTCAATTTTATTGTGACAGGAGTACATCAAGCGCAGGAAAATTGCCGTTTTCGATGGACAGAATAGAAAGTCAGGCGTTTTGTGCCCATGCATGAACTGGAGCACGATTTTGAAACATCAACAATGATTGTCAACGGGAAATATGTAATTTTGCGAAAGGCTGTTTGTTCGACAACAAACGCGCATTCCACGTAGCTTGGATAAATTTTTAAGGGATGCAAGGTTTTGGAATCGAGTATGTTTTCAAATCTCAGACGTTTATTGCAATGCATAAATGTATAACGAAATTACCCACATTGATTGAATCAATAGTCATGACGCCCTGGCCACTCGGACTTCTTCTAAAATATAACGTGAGGATCAAATATCACTGTTGGGGTTACGCTGAGACCTCACTGACGGTTGCCAAAGTGCCAATGGCTTCCGTAGGATCGCTGTCAGGCGTTTTAAGTCCTCATGCTGGCGAACATCGGCGTGGTCCCGGACCGGCGTACCAGGCCTGGATCTGAGCGTGGTCCCGGACCGGCGTACCAGGCCTGGATCTGAGCGTAGTTCCGGACCGGCGTACCAGGCCTGGATCTGAGCGTGGTCCCGGACCGGCGTACCAGGCCTGGATCTGAGTGTGGTCCCGGACCGGCGTACCAGACCTGGATCTGAGCGTGGTCCCGGACCGGCGTACCAGGCCTGGATCTGAGCGTGGTCCCGGACCGGCGTACCAGGCCTGGATCTGAGCGTGGTCCCGGACCGGTGTACCAGGCCTGGATCTAAGCGTGGTCCCGGACCGGCGTACCAGGCCTGGATCTGAGCGTGGTCTCGGACCGGCGTACCAGGCCTGGATCTGAGCGTGGTCCCGGACCGGCGTACCAGGCCTGGATCTGAGCGTGGTCCCGGACCGGCGTACCAGGCCTGGATCTGAGCGTGGTCCCGGACCGGCGTACCAGGTCTGGATCTGAGCGTGGTCCCGGGCCGACGTACCAGGCCTGGATCTGAGCGTGGTCCCGGACCGGCGTACCAGGCCTGGATCTGAGCGTGGTCCCGGACCGGCGTACCAGGCCTGGATCTGAGCGTAGTCCCGGACCGGCGTACCAGGCCTGGATCTGAGCGTGGTCCCGGACCGGCGTACCAGGCCTGGATCTGAGCGTGGTCTCGGGCCAGCGTACCAGGCCTGGATCTGAGCGTGGTCTCGGACCGGCGTACCAGGCCTGGATCTGAGTGTGGTCCCGGACCGACGGACCAGACCACGGTCTGAGCGCGGTCCCGGACCGGCGGAGCAGACCGGGGCCGGCGCCGGCTCCGCTGAGCCGGCTGCGCCGCGGCCGCCGCAGGAAGCGGGCGCCGCTGCACCGGCCGCCGGCTGCCGCTCTGCCCTCTGGCGCAACAATGGCGCGGCCCGCGGCGCAGCCACGCCGAATTCCGGCGCCGGGAAACCGGCACCGAATCAGATTAGAATCGAGTGGAGCCCGCCACTCGAGTGCTAGTGGTGCCCTCAGTTGGTGGGGTCGAGCTCACGCGGGTAGCGAAGCCTCAAAGAGAATCACCAAGGTGCTGTGTGAGCTGTTTAGTAACTGGGCCGAGCTTTGCACCGTGGCCGAATTCCGAGTCATGTATCGTTAAATGTGTTCCCTTGTGCAGACTTTTATGTGTATGAGGGTCTGCAGGAGTCCCCACAAGCACGGGGATAGATTTGCTCTCATCGACAGCTACGACCTGATACTTACACGCATCACATCTGCATTTAACGAACCGTGGGCGCCGGAACGAAGGAGCCGTGGTGAACCCCCTTTCTCCATGAACCCAACCTGAGAGGACGTCCGGTGCCCTTGTGAGAGTTACTGATGGCGAAGAAGGCAGAGGAATGGAATGTTTGGCAGATCATTTTAAAGGTCATGCGCTGCTTACACATGTTGCTCAACTTCTTAATGGAACTTCTCGTGTAAGCAACTGTCAGGCTGCAGAGAAATCGGTCGCTTGTGTTGTCGAAATGGCATGATAAACGGTCACTATTGATATATGCCATGATCATAAAGTAGGCTTGTAAAGTAAGTAAAGCTTGTAGAATAGGCCCTGCCCCTCTGGTCTTAAATCCGAGGCCGTCGGTCGACTCACCCGCGCTCGCGATGGACGCATTTAGTGACATCGATTCAGTGCGGAAAAATGGATTGTCATACATTTTCCGGGAAATAATTGAGTGAGCGATGAAATATCAACGCGTGACAATCGATTCTGATCCCGGCGGCACAC